AACCTTGACAGTTCCACTGTATCAAAGTGGCCATTTTTACTTAGGTGGAGGGAAACCCTTCTATTTATGACCACGCCATTTTTCTATACTAGAAGTAGGTCTGTTGACCTCCATGGATCCTGCCCTTGATCGAGTGGGCAGACCTCTGTCATTAAACTTAGATTCCAGCAACTAAGTGCATGAACAAATAATCGTTCTGCATCTCGGGGCCAAAGAAGAGATATGTTGCACTGCAGAAACTCTTTGGCTGGAGAAACCAGCAAGGAACTCCAACTCATGGATGTTCTACAAATCCCTCTCCACAATAACTCCTCTTGAGGAATTCAAAGTAGCATGGGGAGTAACCTCATGGGTATATCCCCAATGGCCTTTGAGTTCAGGAGTTCACTGTGTTTTGGTGTAGATGTTTCTACCAAGATGTCCCCAGAACGTAGCTTCTTAACTGACTTTGGAGAGCCAGCAAGCCCCTCTAATCCCTTCTGAATAAAAAAGGGAGACATTTGCCCTAAAGGCTTTTCAGACAAGGAATGCAAAATAAAAAAACTAGGTACAGGATGAAGATGAGTTGAAGATTGATGATCAAAGTCTTTGAAGCATGGTCGTTTACCTATAAGCTGTTTAATTACTTTTTTTTTTTGAGGATATGGGGGATCCATAATATAAGGAGAAAGATTCAGTGCCCACTGACCCTACCCACCATGGGGTCCTACGAGGGGATGCACTACAATGCCAAACAAGGACACTGCAGCAACACCACGGCTTTGTGAGCACTATACCCAAACAGCAGCATCAGACACAATATCCACAACACCCATTGAGAATGCCCAACACTGGTGCTCGGTTGACCATAGCCCAACAGGATCAGCCAACTGACCCTGAAAGGGCCACCCCAAGATCACCCATCTACAGGAATTTAAGGCCAAAGTGGTGTGTTGCAGTGCACCAGTCGACCACTAGGATCCTCTCCGCCCACCTTCACGAGTTTTCATGGCAAACACATGGGTGGATGTTCAGATCCCAAAGGAGGTAAACTGAAAATACAGAACATTCCCTGGAAGGTCCCCTCACTACGTACAGGAATCCTCCTTGAGAGGTCTTATGTAAGCTTCCAAATCTGTTTGATAAAACAGCCCTCAATGTTCAATATTTATTTTGGCTCTCTTTAATTATATTAAAGTTTGCCCTTTAAAATGGTCCTTCACTATTCTATCCATTTACTTTGTAAATTATTTTGAACTGAGCCTGATGAGAATAATATCTTACAAAAACATATATAATGGCTAGATTACAACACTGTGTAAATTGTCAAATGATGCTAAAGAACCTAACTATCTAAATCTGTATTTCACAATTCTATGTTTGTGTGTCTGTTTATAACAGGCAAGCTGTTGGACTGATTGTCACCAAACCTGGCATTTACCCTTAGCCCCCACAGGGAGTGAAATAGGAGGATTAGCATTTGGATCTAGTCCCATGTTTTCCTCTTGCATCAAATGGGTATGTTTGTAAGCTAGTTAATACAAAACACTTCTCAAAGGTAAATAACTTGTTTTTTGTTATTTAGTTTTATTTGTTGCATATTCTGATAATTAAATTGATTATCAATTTTTTTGATACTGTCTTTTTTAACCCTTAATAGCCAGGATAGAAATAATGAAATGCTAATTGTTGATAAAATAATCAAGAGTAAAAAATGCTAAAGTTAAACTGTAACACTACAACAAAACAGGGTTGGTCAAATTTTCCCCAGTTTACAAAACACACTAATTTTAGTCATTAAAAAAAGTTATGCCATACTCCAACTGTGAAAACATAATCATGCAAAGAAATGGCATTTAATAGGCTAATAATACTTTTCATGATTTGAAATTGATAACTAGAAACACTGAATATAAACACATTACAAATTTGAGAAATAAAAAATCAAAATGCACAAGTAGGAGTTACAACTTGACTGAAAGAATACATGTACAATGAAACTAAGATTCAACAGCATGTACTTTACTTCAGTCTCAATTACCAAAAAATCATGTAGGGATTTTTGATAATGACTTGTACATGTAAGTATCAAGTTTTGTGTTCAAAATAATTAGGGGTTCAAATGGAGGAATTGAAAATGTTGAATAACTAAGCTGTGCAATATGGTAAACAGCAACAACGTTTTGCTTCAGAGTTATTTTACTTGCTACTATTTCAGTTTTCATTTAATTTTATGCTTTATAGTTTGCATAATATTGGTCTCTGGAAGAACATTGACTATAAGGTACATTCAAGAAACTAAGCTAAATGTTCACATATGTAAGCAATAATTTTAATAAATCCAATAAACTCCAAAAAAAGTCTGATGGATTAGATATTTTTAAAAGCCAGTTTTTCCCAACACTTGAAATCAAATGAGCAATAACTTGGGATTAACAGTAGAAAAGAGAGCATATGAAAAATTTATAAATAAAATAAAGTTATGGAGTCAGTATCACTGTGAGGCTAGTTGTGCTTTTTAAGTGACTACAGCAAGAAATTAAACACAAAGTGAAACCCATTTCAAAATTATGTAATTCATATGATATTTCAACTTAAGGTTCTAAACTTTATTTTCTAAGGAAAAATTGATATTGTCTCAAAGAGTTATTATACAACATATTTTATGCAAATACCAAAACAGCAATACTTAAATAATTTTCGTCATTCTAGAATGAAAATGGCATAATTTGTATTTATTTCCTAATTTTTTTAACGTGGTTACAAGATCAGTAAAATCGACCAAACCCATACAGAGATTCATTATTGAAAATAACAGAAAAAATAGTTTTTTTTTTTTCTTAAGAAACATTTGATAATTACCTGGACATTATAAAGATTTTGCATGTGAAATTTGAAAATTTTATGATGCACAAAAGTATTTTAATCCTAAAATTAAAATTACTTTTCATGTTGGATAAGCAACATGAGGAAAAAAAGGAATGAGAAAAACATTGCTTTACAAATCTTAAGACTTAATTAAAAAAAATAATTGATATTTTGCGTATGAAAGCATTGTAATGTTTATTGATAATCTGTCAAATTTCATTAATATATGCTTACTAATTTAAAAGTTATAACATGAAAACTATTACAAGCACAAAACGGTTATGAGGTCAGTTCCAGGAACTGAGCCTGTGCTGAAAGTTAAACACCAATGAAACTAAAAGAAGAAATTAAGAACCATATGAATAATTATCAGAACTGTATATTATACAATTGTTTTATCATGTTAAAAATCAAATATTTTGATAGAAGCTCAATAAACTGTATTAACACAAATTCTATTTATGTTATGTACAGTAAGTAGTAAGAAAATTAAAGAGAACCTAAACAACTTTGAAAATTATAATTTGTTATGAATTAATCCATTCAACATTCTTCTTTTAAGATTGTTCAAAATGAATTAATTATTTTCTACTTCAAGAAAAAAAAAGTAAAATACAAGCCTATATGATTACCAACAAAAGGATTTTTTCCTTTGTAAGCTTTCCATGTTGAATATATTACTAATCTTAATGATTACTCAGAAGCTAAATCAAACATAAGTATAACATACACTCCTCCAATAAAACAAACCCAGACTTGTTCTTTCAAATTGCCTGTGTCCATGGTTACTGATGAGGAGTCAATTTCCCTGAAATCGATATAACTCGGTAACAAGTGACAAATCGAGTGATAGTTTGGGTTTCATATTTATTTTCAGTATGAATACCAATATTGGTTATGGATATTACTCTTATTTTGATTTAGCATTTCAGTAATATTAGATAGAGTGTTTAGCATTTGAACCTACTGGTTTAAATATTTAATGTGAATGAAGGATGTACTAGTTGACCAAATGTGACAGTGTGAAGTTTATAAATAATTTTAGTTAGTAAATGATTTTTACTTAGTGAATAACATTTAAAGTATTCACATTAACACTGGGCAAATAAAGTTTATATTCCTTGAAATTGAAAGGGAAGAGCCCAAAAATCACAATACACATTTATTTATATATATCATGAATATTCATCTTAAATTTACATAGAACAGCATTCTCCTACAAACACAAAAAAGAAATGAAAATTTTTACTCACCTTTCACCTTAAACAGGAGATGACATTCATGCTTGGAATAGGCTTGTATATATGATACAAATGCTCTTTTTCCTTTCTCAAAGATGTCTCTGAAACGTTTCAAACAAAATGCATTTCATGATTATTTTTAGCCTTATGCAGTGACAAAAGAACCTTTTATTTTAAATGTCTTTCTAAATCAAAAATAATTCATCAATAAAACCCCAAATAATCCAAAATTATAAATTAAAAAAAGTAAAATGTGTGATTGTTTAACTTGTTGAAGTGTCTTAACAGCAAACACTAGAGGTTAGCCTGTGAGAGGGCCCAAGTATACATTCAACAAGTATGAGGTATCTTTGTGTTATGTAGATGGCTTGGGATTTTCTCAAATGAATATTCTACAATAAGATAAATAATACTGAAAAGTAACAGTAAAATTGTTACTAATTTACAGTGAAGATTAATAATGCTGATGTGTCAAGCATTAAAAATGTCATTAAAGTTTTGACTGAATAGGTGCAGATGTTAACACAGTATGTAACAGACTTGTTTTTTAGAGATGCTATTCTTCTCTCCTTTATACCAAATCAAACTTCAACACAATCACTATCTGCAAGCTGTCCATCTACAATGATATTCCATGAGGAAGTACCACCACTATATTACTGCAGTCAACCTTCCACCCTTTATACTAAAAAATTTGATGGGAAGTAAGTTTGATTTCACTATTAATAAATTTATTAAGAATTTGGAGAGAGATTTTTACCCTTACCAAATGTCTGAGAACATATGGGTAGAAACTGCAGTCTTACATTTCAGGGAAGGGCCACTAGAATGGAGGAAATCACTAGAAGTGGAAGTTGCTTTTGAAAACTTGTGAGAATTTAACAATAACCAAATTAACCTATACTCAGCTGTATTAAGTAAAAATGAGTTGGTCCAAGACATTTTCAGTAGAAAGTACACTTGAAATACAGAGGAGAACATATGAAAATTTATTTGGAAAACTGTAAAATTTTATAAATTATGGAACCCAAAACTACTGAAATACAAATAGTAAAGTGTTTGATATCTCAATTACATCTAGTATTAAGATAATACTTGGAATTATACCATGCAGTTTCTATTTCTGATGTGCTAAAATTCACTAAGCAGTTTGAGTATCAGCACAGGAATAAAATACAAATTGCTCAAAGAGAAGTGTTTAATGAAAGTGAAAATGATAGATATGTTGGAAAATGCTATAACTGTAATCAAATAGTCCACTTATCTTTGAATGTTCCCAATACATGTGTTCATTTTTGATATCTCAATAACATGCTCTATAAAGAGAATACTTGAAATAATGAGGAGGATGTTTTGATTTCCCTTAAATAAAATCCTCCTCAATTTACATAATGATAACCAAAATTGAACTGCCAAATTTAGCACTAAAAACTTAACAGTAGAAGTAGTGTGTCTGATTATTCTATTATAGATGAAAACATACAGTAACAAGTTAAAAAAAACCCAAATATTTACTTACTAACATGGAATAAAAAAGAAATGTGCCTTGCCATTGGTATGATTAATTGTTGACCTTTAGGACATTTCCTGGGTAAGCTATCAGTAAGAATTAGTATCTTGGACCAATTAATTGTCAATTTCATTGGCTTAGATTTTATACAACAGAAAGAAGTTAATAGCCATGTTATTCACAATTCTTTTAAGCAAGATTATAGTAAATTAATATACGAGACCTTTTCTTTTCTATTAGTTATATTTTTGTGTGCCAGCAATACCAAGCATGGTGCATGCGTATACCCGATACAACTTTATTACTCATCAGAATTTCTACCAGCCTACTCTCAAATTAAAATTATTTTAGGCAGAATTAGAGTAAATTAGTCTATGAGACCTTAGGTGTGGATAAATATCAATTGAAAGGGATTGACCTCATGAGTACAAAACTATAATTAGATCTCAAATTGGTCAACAGATGACAGAGTTATGAACTAAAAGTTTGTACTTGAAAAAAAGCTCAGAATCAAACTATGAGCTGCAGCTAAAAAAAGACATTATAGTAACATGCTGATATCTTAAGTGTTAAGCCAGGATGTTGCTGAACACAACAGTGAATCCATTAGTGAAACATTAATATTTACTACACAATATCATTATTTGCCCACTAAGTTGATAGTACTTCATGAACAAGTGCATGAAATGCTTCATAATGGGTTGATTGAGTGCTCCACTTCTTTCTGGCTTCACCATTAGTTGTTGTTAAGACTACTGATTTCAGGTTCTGTGTGGACTACTGAAAGTCAAACCAAAATTGTAAAACTGATAGGTAATTGTAGCATCTTATAAGTGACATTTTGAGTGCCTTTCAGGAGCAACACGAGTCAACACTTTAAAAAATTTATCTAGTGGATATTATAAAATACTTGTGTTAAGGATAGGCCCAAAACTGCTTTTATAAATGATAATGAACTAAATCAATTCAGAGATGGCTTTTAATTTGAAAAATTCACATACAACCATTCAAGGACTAATGGATAAGATACTTAAAGGAGCAACAGTGTTCAAAATTATATAATGAACAAAATTTCAAGGACCTTAAGCTAGTTTTTTTATAACCTACTAATGTAATGAAAAAATATCAGTAAGAGTAAATTCTGCCAACCAGAAGTATCCTACCTAGGGTTTACAATTATTCCCAAGGGGATACACACCATTGAAGAAAATGTTAAATCTGTAAAATAATTTTTTACTCCAAAGAACTGTAAGGAGTTAAGCACTTTTTTATGTATGCATGCTTGATGCAATAAGTTGTTTTTTTAGGTTTGCTACAATTGCTAAGCCCTTATACCAGTTAAGAAGAAAACATGTCATGTGGAATTGGACTCCCTGATGTCAACATGCATTTTCAAATATAAAGCAGTCATTGACAAGTGCCTTAGTTCCACAACTTTCAATGAATGGTGAACAGTACTTACTGCATAAAAATGCCTCAAATAGGATTGGTAGCCATTCTACATCAGATGGATGTCATCGCATATATTAGTCAAATGCTACATCCAGAAGAATGAAATTACAGACCTACAGAGTTAGTGTTTAGCTATAGTCTAGACTTGAAATAAGTTTAAGGTTTATTTTGAGAGGGAAAAATTTAAACTTATCACTGACAATGCTGGACTGAAATGGTTACAGATGGCTCCTAAGTGGTTAAACAGTCAGCTAATGCACTGGTCCTTGAAGTTACAGGACTTACCCTTCTCTACTGTTTACACAAAAAGAAAGAAGAATCCATTACTGGACACTCTCTCCAGACATTCTGTTGATCTCCTAGAAGGAACTCCAGACTTTGATCTTGATAATTTATCACCCAAGCTTTTTACAGTTAACATTAGCAGTAGAAAACAACTGACTACTAAACAAGCTAGAGACAATGATATGCTTATTTAAAATCTGGAAAATAGTCTGAAGTTATCATTTTCCTATACTGAAAATATATTTCTGATAGGTGCTTACCTCTACTCACATGTATAACTATTCTCATAAGTGCTGCCCTCTATATGCAAACATTGTTTTTGCATGCCACAAGCCTTGAACTCCCACATATCCCATGACAAATGTGGCTCAACTACATCTCGCATGTAAATCATCATGTGACAAATGCATTGTGATAAAGAAGACCCACATCATGCTGGTTGAATTATTTTACATTTATCACCTCCTGGCTCGAGACATGCTTTTATAAATTGTGTTTCAAATCTCAGCATTTGCAATGTGTCACTTTTGACATTTGTCTAAAATCACAAAATATTAGCTTTTACTGTTGATAAAGATGTATACACTCCCCTGTTAGTTACAGATGAAAAAGGCAGTCTGTTATGACAATTACCCACCTTCATGATTCTTGTTTTTTCCACATTTAATTCCTACTCAAAAACCTAAAATATCTAGTTTTTCTCATTCAAAAGCAATCAAACCAATGATCAGTCATGTTTCTCGAGCCACAACTAACTTTAAGATAACTTCTTGGAACTATGCATATCAAGACACACAGTATTGTGTCATGCAGCCAAAATAACTAGAGGAGACACTGTGTGTTATTAACAGGAGTGATAGTTTAGCGATTTTCCACTTTCTATAGCTCAGACTGTGGTAATCCAAACTACCACATATTTTCAGTGAATGTGCTCTACAGGACTCTTACTTCACATATCAAATTTCAAGGCAATCCATTAAGAAATACATGAGACATAAAATCTCCAATTCTGTTTGAATTTCTTTATCCTTTTTTTTTTACACTGAAAGTATGGAAACTTTATTTGATATAAAAACACATTTAACTTTTATGGATTTTTTTCAAGTTTGTTAGACAGATAGATTTTTACAACTCACAATTAGGTATCAAATTTAGTCTAAATATATGCCACACGTACAAAGTCATTTAACAAAAATTGCTCAATTTAGACCAAAATTTTTTGTGCATGCTTATGCAAAAAATCATGTGAACTATCTGTCTAAAAGTTTTACTTCAGCTTCACCTAAGAATAAAAGTGGGTCATTTTTAATTTTTCGCCTTTCAGATTGAAAACAGCTAATTTAGAGCAGCTAAACTAAAGGGTGAAAGCACGTTCACATACATAAGTATTGGTTAAGCCCAGCAAACCATATTAGCTGTTTCTAGCTCAAGTTTTCAAAAGAATCATACAGGTGGACAGTTATTATTCATTGCCAACTTTTAAGCACAAATTTGCTAAATTTTATAAAATTCTCCTAATTAAAGAGCATTTAGCATCATATGATATTAGCTTAAGCAATTAGTGTAAATAATGATGCTTGATACGGCTGTATTGAGTACATGTGGGTGATGACAAAAAACTGCTAATCTAGATTCCATGGTGTTATTATAAAAGAAGTTATTAATACTGTTTTAAAGAGGAAAACTACCATCATATATTTTTAAGAATCTGGTTGGCACTGTAAAGTATAGGTTTGTTCCGAATAAAAAGGTTGCAATCCTAAAGCTAATGTTAGATACTATCGAACATCATTTTCTTACTTGCTGTGGTTTGTTGGTGTGTATTGACAAAAAGTAATGATATCTAATCAAAAA